ATCAGACCTCCCAAATTTAAAGACCCAATCCAAAAATGGGCATCTGAAATGAACAGACATTTCTCAGGCAAAAAAGTAGAAATAGTAAATAAACATGTGAAGAAGTGTTCAACATCACTGGTCATTCGAGAGATGCAAATGAAAACAACACTGAGATTCCACCCTACCCCAGAAAGAATGGCTCATATTATGAACTTAACCAATAACAAATGGTGGCGGGGCTGTGGGGAAAGAGGAACACTGCTCCACTACTGGTGGAAGTGTGGACTGGTGCAACCACTGTGGAAATCAGTATGGAGTTACCTCAAGGAACTAGGACTGGAAGTCTCATTTGATCCATCTGTTCCCCTGCTGGGTATCTTCCCCAAAGAATTAAAAGAATCATACCACAGTGATATATGTGCACCCGTGTTCATAGTAGCACAGTTTGCAATAGCTACACCTTGGAAGCAGCCCAATTAATTGCCCATCAACTGGAGCCTGGTTAAAGAAAATATGTTTTTAAAAAAAATAAAATGGAGTACTACTCAGCCATAAAAATGAGAATTTAGAGACATTTACAGCTAAATGGATGCATATTGAGGCAATACTCTTAAGTGAAATAAATAGGACACATATATGTAAATACTCAATAGTTTCTCTAGTGTGAGAAACTGAAAGTGTAAATAAGGACTAAAAGGTTTAATAGATAAATTGAAATAGGAAGAAAAGGGGCAAAGGGGAAGTGGAAGTGGGAGGAGTAGGGGAAAGTAAAGAAGGGAATGGAATTAATATGAGAAAATGAAAAAATGGAAACAAAATCTTTGTAAATAGAGAGGAATGGAGGTGTTGAAGGGAGGGCAGGGGAATAGGGAAAAAATAAGAACTAAGAGGGATTATGTAAAGGTGCAAATTTCCAATGATGATTGTCATTATTTTGTATACCTAAAATGTACCAATAAAATTAATTTAAAAAAAGAATGGCATCTTTGTAATATTGGTGGTCCCAGTATCTGGTATCTTCCCAACGGCCTGCATTTTAGCTTTCTTTAACATCCACCTAATCTGACAGTCTGAATCCTTTTTCTCAACTGAACTCTGACTTTCATGCTTGGAAAAAATATCCCGCAAGACTAGGCCCTTGTTAACCATCCATCTTCCTTCTAATCTATGTAAATTCCTGCAGTAGCTATTTTATGTAAAATACAGCAAAAATTTATTATACATAGTTTCTATTAAATGTTAGAGAAAACATAAAAAAGAAGTAGAGAAATAGAAAGTAGGGAGATGTTCTAATAATTCCCAAAATTTTATATTCTATCATTTCAAAAATATTTCAATATATGTGCTAATTCATTTCATTTACACCCCTAGGTCCTCTTAGTTCATTGAAAAGAAAGTTTTGTGCTCTTATCTATATGTTTCTTTTTTGTAAGAGTCTTTTTTCTCTATGACTTATATTCTGACATTTTGGTCATTCTTTTAAGATTATGGTCACAGTGTATTACTTAATGATATTCTTTAATTAATTTGTTACAAAGGTTTGTTTTATTTTTTATAGAAGTAAGGAGACTGTTTATAAACAATATTTTCTTCATCATTATCTACTTGTATTATATTGAAATAAAGTTTTTCCAAACCAAAAAAACAAGAAAAGAAAAAAAAAGAAATAACAATAAATCTGAAAAATCAAATGCACAAGTGAGAGGAAGTACTGGTACATCTTGTAACATACATGAACATTTAAAACATTGTATTCATTGCAGAATGCCAGACACCAATGCTGCCTGTTTTAGAACTGCACTTACATGAATACCCAAAATACCTAAGTCCATAGAAGCAGAACACAAGTGATTTATTGGCAGATGATGGAGTGTAAAGAGAGACTGAAGAACTGTTGTTCAGAATTTAGCATTTCTTTGAAATTTTCTGGAATTATATACTAACGGTGGGTACACAGCCTGTGAAAGTACCACAAGCCACTCACATGTGCATTTTAAATGATTAAAATGATGAAATTTGTAGTATATGACTTTTATTTTAATAAAATGGGAAATGGGCTAAAATTGTTCTCTACATATATAGTTGTGTGGTTTTGTGCAAAACGAAGAAACAGATGTCAAAGAATAGGAAAACTGTTTTAAAAGTGTGTAATTATAGATAGATGAAATTAATCTAAGTGCTTATTACTATATAATTCAATAAATAAAACATTACACATCTTCATACACACCATGGAATACTGTACACCTATTAACAAAGGATGAAGTTCTGTGGGAGCAACCTGGATGAACCTAGAGAACATTATGTCAGTTGAAATCACCCAGGCACAAAAAGACAAGCACTGCCTTATTTAAAGTCTATGTGGGATCTAAGAAAATTGATCCTCTAGATTTGTTGAACAGAATAGTGGTTACCAGAGATGACAGGGAACTGGGTGTGGCCATGGGAGCAGTGCTCCGTTCAGGTGGGAGGAGAGATGCATAGAGTCCAACCACACAGCACCCTGGCTTAAAAGTAATGTAATGCATAACGCGCAATAGTCTGAAGAAAAGATTTTGAGTAGCCTCATCAATGATAAATGATAAATATCTGACGCAATGGGCATTTGACCATAAAATACATGTACGTGTATACCACATTGTACTCCCAAACCGTGTACCACTGTTATGTCCCATTCAAAAATAAAATTTAAGTTAAAGATGAAAGCATTGTGTATTAGTTTGGACATATTATTCCCATTTAAAAAATTAACTATTGGTATATTTTAGGCATTCATTATGATCACATTATTCCCTGTTTATTTTTTTATTAAATTTTTAAAATAACTTTATTATCAAACACACACACATACAAAAATTAAAACCATTCAAAGAAGAACAATGCAAGGGAAAAAACTATAATAATATTCAAATACAGTAGAACTCAACCAAAAGAATACTGAAAAGCACTTAAACATAAAAAAAATGCAATATACATTCCTTGTCTCTTTCAGTCATCATTATGTGTGAATCAAACACAATTTGTTCATTAGTTAGTTGAATGTTGATGGACATGAGTTATTTCTAACTCTTGGGTATTATAAGTATGCTGCCATTTAGATATTTTACAACTTTTTTGTGAACATATATGAAAACATGTTCATTTGTTCATATACATGAATTGCCTCCAGATATATAGCTGAAAAACTTGGAATAGCAAGCAAAAGCTTGAAGGTAGAATACAAGAATGAACTCTAGGTGAGTTTGGCAGGAGAAAGTTACGACAAGTAAATCACCATAGATATTAATAAACATGGATTATGTGTTGTCAGGGATTTAAAGATTTTTGAACTCCACTTTTAGAGATGTAACCACTGTGTCACAATGTGTGTGTGTTGATTTTCTTTCAGGACAGAGATACTGTCTATAAAAATTAAATGCAATGAACATTGAAGTCCCTATAAATCAACAGCTTTTGAAGTTTGTAACAAAAAGTGTTTACCATAAACATGGCTGTAGCCTTTCAAAAGAGATGGAGATGTCTGAACTTCATGAAAATATTTCCATTGGCCATATATATGGTTTCATTTGAAGATTCCTTATTGATTTGGTGACCTCAACTTGGTTAAGGGGACTCAGGAGACTCTATTTAAATGTTATGAGGATTATCCTTTCCTTTAAGTAAGAACCTAATGACACACTCTCGTATTTGTTTAGTTTTCACCCCATACACAATAGGGTTCATTGTGGGAGGCATGAGTAGATAGAGATTAGCCATAATGATGTGTATATGGGGTGGAATAGTCTGTCTCCCAAAGCGGTGTGTGAAGAAGGTAAAGAAGGCTGGGACATAGGTGATGACAATGGCACAGATGTGAGCAGTGCAGGTGCTAAAGGCTTTCTGTCGAGCATCTGCTGATGATAAATTCACAACTGCCTGAAGAATCATAGTGTAAGAGATTGTGATGCACAGGATGTCAAAGCCCCCAATCAGGAGGGCAACCATCAGACCATAGATGGCATTGACCTGAACATTCCCACAGGATATTTTGGCCACAGACATGTGGTCACAGTAGGTGTGGGGGATGACATTGCCCCTGCAGTATGGCAGGCGCTTGGTGAGGAAAGTGAAAGGGATGACAAGCATCACACCCCTGAGAAAAGTGAGGAGCCCAGCCTTAGCAATGACCACATTAGTGAGGATGGTGCCATAACGCAGGGGATAGCAGATGGCCACATAGCGGTCCAGGGCCATGAGCATGAGCACCCCAGACTCCATCCCTGTGAAGGTGTGCACAAAGAACATCTGGGTTAGGCAGGCTTTAAAATCAATCACCTTGAGGTTGAACCAGAGTATGCAGAGAGTGTTGGGAAGAGTGCTGGTGCACATGAGCACATCCGTGAAGGAAAGAAGGGCCAGGAAGATGTACATAGGTCTGTGTAAGGACTCTTCTGTGTAGATGAGGTACATCAGGCCAAAGTTCCCTGTAAGAGCAATGGTGTACATGGTGCACAGGGGGAGCGAGATCCACAGATGTACTTCTTCTAGACCAGGTATACCATTTAGGATGAATGAAGATGGAGTTAGGCTGGTCCCATTTAGAAATGACATGATGACCGTTGGAATGTCATGATAGAGCTATTCCAATGTCCTCTGAAAGTAGAAAAAACAGAACATAACTAATAATGTTATGCATAATTTTCTTCCCTAGATACTTGTTTTTATTGCAGATTAATGATTGTATGTCTTCTCACAGATGTAATATATGATATACACTCTATTTGAGAGCATGCCCTAAGTGTGAGATGTGAGAGGCCAGGCTGAAGTTGGACTCTCTCTGAACAACATGACCAAAGATTGATTAAACATTTACTGTGTTCCAAGTGCTCCCCATGTTAGTTAGAGTTTCCTAATCTATTCTTTTTTTATTCATTAAGTTTATTGGTAGATTTTAAGTATTCTATATGATGACATTCATCATTGGGAATTTGTACCTTTACATGATATATCTTGGTTCTTATTTTTTCCCCATTCCCCTGCCCTCCTGTCAACCCCTCCAATCCTCCCTATTTACAAAAACTTTGTTTCCATTTTTTTCCCTTTCTCATATTTATTCCTTTCCCTTCTTTCCTTTCCCCTATGCTTCCCATATATAGCTAAATGGACACACATTGAGGCCGTACTCTTACGTGAAATAAATAAGACACACGCATAAATACTGAATAGTTTCTCTGGTGTGAGAAACTTAAAGTGTAAATAAGGATCAAAATATATAATAGATAATTTCAAATTAGAAGAAAAAGTCCTAGTCTATTCTGAAATGTCAACAAACTTCATAGGACTCATCTTTAAAAGTTAATCATTTTTATCTAATAAACATATTGCCAAAACTTCAAATAGTGTAAGTTCAAACTACCCCTTTTTGGTTTTGAAGAAACTTAAATGAAGAAAAATATAAATCATCCCCTTCTACCAATAGCTTCCTTTACTCAAAATCAGTAAATGATCTAAAAAATAAAAAATGTACTCCTTCTTAATGTCACTAAAGACTAACTACCCGATTAGTACTAAAATAAACAGATGATGAATCACTTCAGTAAGTTATGAACAAACAATGTTTTTCTAAGATTAGTGTCTACTTAATGGACACTAGAGTCCAGTTCAGTGAGAATGAAGATGCTTATCAGCTTAAGCTAAACCAATGAACATTTCCTTTAGAACATAGTTCTTTATTTTCTAACCATATCACAATTTTGACAACCATAGAGTCAAATTTTTCTCAAGCCATGTAATTTCTAAAGCTAAGGTTTCTGATATAAAGAAGATATCAACATATGTTTATATTTTTAAAAGCCTCTCTTTCTCTCTCTCTCTCTCTCTCTATATATATATGATAATAATAGGATAAGAAGGTCTAGGATTGACATGACATTCATGAGTGTAGAATATTTGATATGATATTATGCAGTAAGGAAATAAGAATAAAGTTGTGAATGTTGGATGGATGCACATAGATTGCACAAGTCTGAAGAGGTGGGCTACATTGAGCTGGAATGTGCAGATTAAAAGTAACAATAAAAATAAGGAAAAAGTAGTCTGATCATGAGGATAGTCCTTAATGAAGGATATTAGAGAAAAAAAATAGACTGATTTTTAAAAAAATGAGTGTTGTAATTTATACCACATCTTGGACATTATGTAGGAGACCCACTAATATGAGTCTCTATTGAAAACAGAAAATTGTGTGAAATTGCCTCTCCTTTCTTAATATGTATCTGTTATTTAATTTTATACTCTTATTTTTCAAAAGATAAGGGCTAAACAGATGAATTATAGGATCATTTTGAATTGGGAAATCATTAAAATATCATTACTATAATGTGGAATGGAGGCAATTCCCTGAAAGTAAGAGAAGAAACAGAAAATTATTGAATAACACTATACTCGCACTCCTATTATTCATGAAGGATAAGTTCTTTTTTCCTCAGATATGTTGTTACATGGCAAATCCAGCAAGATTGTCTTTTGTAAAAAATACTCCTTGTAATAGCTATATTTCAAAGTTAAAATGTGAATATTTTATCCAAAGTGAAAATATAACAAACATACCAGAATATAGAAGAAGACTTCATGCCTATTAGACGTTAGAAGATAACTTTATATTGTGACTCTCATTCATCTTTCCATTCTTTCAATGAACCCATTTCTATAATAAGAAGAATACAATCCCAATTCAGAAATCTACTTACCTTGAAAGCTATTGGAGTTCCTCAAGTAACTGAGTGTATCCAAGGATTAAGTTACATTCATGTCTGTGTGAAGCTCTTGGCCCTGGAGGAGAAATACAAGACCTATAATGAGACTTTGGAGGGAAAGTAGAAGAGGAAACATTCTATTCTGTGTGTGAGTGTTGTATAATAAGGAGAACTCGGTTGTTACTTTTTCATTCTACTATATCAGAGAAGTGATTTCCCATAGATATGTCCATAGATATATGTGTGTATATATGGTTACACAATGAAAAGAAGAACAGACTTAAGTGTCAGATATATCTGGATGCTAAGGGCACTGTCTGAGCCACTGGGAATTAGGAACTATTTTGTCCCTCATTACAATCTAGAACTCCTGAGGGCATACTCTTACATAGTTAAAACACAAACTATATAGGTCTGAATCTGTTTAAAAGTTCTGAATTCAACCTGTTGGGGAGACAGATTTTCTACTAACTTTTTAAAAATGTAATACTACACCAGGCACACAATTGGTACTAAAATATTTCTTTAAAATAAACAGTGATATATATGGTTGATTGGTGTCCTAGATAAATTCCTTTAATTATAACTTTATGTATAGATTTTTTGAGTAAGGCTAAATAAAAACCATCACAGTCTCCGCAAAAAATGATCACTTGGTTTCTTCCTTTCCTGTTTTTAATGTGTTTTTTTCTTGCCTTTTCAGTGGTTAGGATCTCCCTCCTATACGATATTTTCCAGGAGTAGTGATAACAGATAGTTTTGGTGACTCCAAATGAACCAGGATAATTAAACTTACTGAGGGTAAAGAAACCTGGCTCCAAAAGATCATATAAAGACATGGATTTATGTTACAGGAGAGAAGCACAATAGTGTAGTAATAAGACTATTATGAATTGATAATAGATTCCTTATTCAGATTGGATCATGTTTGGCTAAGTGCTTATATAGCATTATTATTTGTAAACTATACACCTATTGACATTAAGGAATCATCTGTCTTTTTCAAATATATTCCTACATATATACCTTGAAATATCTGTTTGAAATACTTATTGCTGCTAAATCCTGGATTACATCAAATGATTAACTATTGTGTACAGTATAGATTATCATGGATATCTTAATTTTCATTGTTTGCAATACTGGTGATTGAATCTTGCCCATACTAAGCAAATACTTTACCACTGAGTTGTACCCCTGGCCCCAGAGATTGTTAATAAATTGAAGGATACTCCTTTTATTCATAATCACTTAATATTTTTACAATGGATTTTGAATTTCATGATATTATAGACTTGCATCTACTAGAATGATCATGATTATACTCTGTTTTGTTGGAAGCACTGATTTGTGTTGATTTATATAAATTTCACATGAAATAAGACATATTTAAAAATAAAGTTTCTAAAGTTTATATATGTGTGTGTATATATATATATATATATATATAAAATTGCAACCATGATATAGAAATGTCATCACACCCCCAAAATTTTCCCGTGCCCCTCCTCAGTCAATCTCAACTGATTATTGCTTTTTCTACAGATTATTAAAAAAAGAAAATTATGGTCTACTGTCTCATATCTCTTTTTTTATGCAACATAATAGTTATTTATTTTTAATTTTATTGAGGGAATTTAAATATACATAATGACCACATTCAACAAAGGGAATTTGTTCCTGAACATGATATATCTTGACTCCTCTTTTTCTCCCAATCCCCTCCATCCCTTATTTACAAAAGCTATGTTTCCATGTTTCCCTTTTTTTCACATTTTTCACTTTTCCCTTCCCTTTTCCTCCTGCCCCCTTTCCTTTTGAATATTTCCCTTTCCTTTTGAACAGTTTCTTCCTATTTCATATTATCCCTTATACATTTTTGTCCTTATTTACCCTTTCAGTTTCTCACAATGTAATATTTACACATATGTGTCCGATTTATTTTACTTAAGAGTATAGTATCAAGTTGCATCAATTTAACTATAAATGTCTCAAGTTTATTTTTCTTTATGGTCGAGTAGTACTCAATTGTATTAAAAAAAAACCACATATTTTTTTATCCATTCTTTGGTTGATGGGCATTTGGGTTGTTTCCAAGATTTAGTTATTATAAACTATGCTACTAAAAACATGAGTGAACATATATTACTGTGGTATGATGATTTTAATTCTTTATGGAAGATACCTGGCAGGAGAACAGCTGGGTCAAATAGGACCTCTAATCCAAAAATGTTGAGGAATCACCACACTGATTTCCACTATGGTTGCACCAGTCTGCACTCCCACCAACAGTGGAGAAGGATTCCTTTTTCTCCACAGCCTCACCAGCATTTGCTGTTTGGTGATTTCTTATTAATAGCTACTCTTTCTGAAGTGAGATGGAATCTCAGCATTGTTTTAATTTGGATCTCTCGGGTGACCTATGATGTTGAACACTTTTTTCATATATTTATTTGCCATTTCTACTTCTTCATCTGAGAAATATCTATTCATTTTAGATGCCCATTTTTGGATTGGGCCTTCAAATTTGGAGCATCTGATTTTTTTCAATTCTTATATGTTCTAGATATTAGTCCTTTATCTCAGGGACTACTGGGTAAAATTGCTTCCCACTCTTTGGGTTGTCTTCTCTCTGTTGGTGATCTCTTTTGTGCTGCAAAAACTTTGTAATGGGATAAGATCCCAGTTGTTGATTCTTTGCACTATTTCCCATGCAGTTTGTGTTTTGTTCATGAAGTCATTGCCAACCCCTATGTCCTCAAGAGTTCTACATATTCTCTCTTCCAGGAGATTCCATGTTTCTGTTTTAATATTTAGATCTTTGATCCATTTTGGTTTTAGTTTAGTGCATGGGGA